TGCGGCCTCGGTGCCGGCGGCTACACGTGGCACGGAGTAGGTAGTTCGAATTAGGCTTTCTCATTCGATCTACCATTACTCCTCGTGGAACAAGGTGTAACGGTAGTTCGAATGAGAAAGCCTAATTCGAACTACCTACTCTGTGCCGCGTGCAGCCACGGGCACAGAGTCTGAACTACCGGTGATTTAAAAATTGCGGCGCCCGGCAAGATGCAAATGAAGCCCGGGATATTTAAATCCCGGGCTTCATTTGCAACTTCAATTGACTACATTAACCACCCTAGTTCGAACTAGGGTGGTAGTGTAGACATACCCTATAGAGAGAACTGCCAGCTGTTCTGAATAGAATAATTCCTTTTTTTTAACTTCTCATCCTCATTTTCTGTTTTTGACTGCTGGTGAAGGATGGATGTGATGTACCTCAGAGAAGTGCAAGGAATTTCAGTTAGAATTAGGCTTTAGTGTACCTGGAGGGAGGGTCAAGCTACAGCAGGAACAGCCAGGGAAGGGGTGCATGTACCCCAGCTGGGGCAGGTCCAGGTTCGCCTTCCCCTTGAGCTTCCTAGTCTCATTGAGGAATGCAGTAAAATGTGTACTTTCCCCTCGCTCCCTGAAGAATATTCCAATATGAATCGGGAAGGGGGAGATTCAGCCTTCCCTTCACTCCCCCACCCCCTAAGTACACCTGAAGATTGTAAGCTCGAGGATGGGGCAATCCTGGATGGCAGGGGCATGCCCCTGCCTTTCTCTTTTACCTTCCTGGTGATTCTTTCTTTTCTATATGGTTTTATGAGAAGCGATCCCATTAGAGGCACATCCCATTTTCCTGTCATAACTAAACCCTGACCTTGCTTTTAAGTTATAAGAGGAAGCTGCATACCAAATTTGGGTGGTTCTAGCTCTTACTGTTTAGAAGGCGTTCTTGAACAAACTAATAGACAAAGGATGCACAGACAGTACAAACTCTCTGAAATAGAGTAGCTAATCCAGCCTAGTCATCTATGTATTTCTAAGTTACTATAATCATAAGCATATAGTAATTTATGTTTTACTGAATTTCTTATTTGAAGAAACTACATAGTATGAATATAAATTGTGCACAGAAGTCTTCCATACACCATGTTAAAATACACCATTTAAAAAACAAACAAACATGCATTCAGGTTTCAGACACACGTATACTAATAATGTAGCTCATTATTTATATATTCAATGCTCAGAGAAAGCACATGGAGTTGTCATACATAACCATGCACATTCTGTATTTGAAGGGATAAATATTATTATACTTTTAGGTTTCCAAAAGAAAATCATGCTGCTATATTTAAAGTATTTGCAAGTGGTTAAGTTATTTAAATTAATGGATTTAGTCATAGTACAGTTAAAATCACCAATAAAAGACTTGTAACTATCTGGATTAGTTATCAGACCAGCTATTATAATCCTCATTCTAGTGAATTTAGGCTTTAAAATGAAATAATTTGGCTATGTCTACACTGCCCCTCTCTTGCCCCTCTCTTGTGCAAATGAGGTGAAGCATGGAATATCTCTTGTGACTCATTTGCAAAATTAATGAGGCTCCGTTTTTGTGCAAGAGGTTTTTGTGCAAAAAGGAGCCGTCTACACAACTCCTTTTATGCGCAACAATCCCCTCTTGCACAAGAGCCATTCTTCCACATTTTTTCCAGAAGAATGGCTCTTGCACAAGGGGGAGGGTGGTCTTGCGCAAGAAGGAGCTGTGTAGATGGCTCCTTTTTGCTCAAAAGCGTCATGCGCAAAAACAGAATCTCGTTAATTATGCAAATGAGGCATGGTGATATTCCATGTGTTGTCTCATTTGTATTTGTTTTTGTGGAAAAGGCTATAGTGTAGACATAGCCTTTGTGTAGTGGACAAAACTGAAAGGGAAAGGGGATGGCTCCTCAATCCTAAGGGCAGTTCTATGCTATTCCACTCCATGAAGGTTTTCATCTATATCATCTGACTGGGACCCTAAGGTCACAGTACACGAGGTAGAGTTCACTGAAATGCAGCAGACTCTAGCAAATAACTTATTCATTTTACTGGTCCCCAAAGAATTATTTAAACAATTCAGTCAAATACATTTAATTTGCTTTGAAATACATTATTTTTGTTTTGGTTTTAGAGGGCTCTTTAGCCTTTTAAAAAAAGTTGAAGCCAAATTAGAAATTTCAAATTGGAAAAAAAGGAAATGTTTCTTACAAAAATGTCAAAATAAAATGTTTAATTTTTTCCATTTTTTTTTCTTTTTACCAGAACAAACTAGTGAATTCAACTTAAATTTATGAAACATTGTGTGAAAAATTTTGCTTAGCCTGAAATGCACTCTCTGTGCTGGGACTGGGAACGACACAGTGCAAGATCTGACTATTCTGGCTATACATCCCTCAGGAATTTTTCCATGTTCAGGGAGTCCTCAGGGACCTAAGCCAGCTTTCTGAACATCAGTGGTTCTGGACCCTGGACTGAAGAAGTTTGTTTGGAAGTAGTGTACATTCATGAGCAAAATCTATGAATCTTCAAATTAAAATATAAGGAGGAAATCCAGAAATCTATGAAAACACTAAGGAGGTGTCCAAAAAATACTGAACTGTTAATGCATGTACTTTCTCCCTCTTCCCCTCCCTCCCCCCAAAAAATTATGGTGGACAAAAAAGATAAAGAGACAGAAACTGAGATGTGAGTAAAACATTATCAACCTTCCCATTATGTTGCCTCATGCAAATTTTGCTGAGGCTGTTGGCTAACACATACCCACTCAACATTATTAATAAAACATTGCAGATTGTTGAGATGGTTTCTTTAACAGTTTAAATGTCTTATTTTTCTACTTTGCTATTCCAGCCTAGCCCTCTGTGAGACTGACAGAAAAAGTCCTGTCTTATTGCCTTGGAAATCAGTGGGTATTCAGCATAGGCTTAAAGGAAAAAAAATGTGTAGAAAATTGAATGATGATGGCAATCATTTCTAGTTCTCTATCAGTAGCATTTGCTTTTTAAAAACTACAAAGGAAAATATAACACATCTGACAGGTGCTTGTTGCAGAGGATAATATTGCATACTAGAAGTCATTGCCTGGGTCCTCCAGGGAAGGGATCTGGTGCTGTGGGGGTTCAGGAGTCAGAGCAGGGCTGTAAGAATGTGTGGGGGCAGTGCAGGAGCCTGAAGGCAGGAGGTACAAGAATCAGAGGGTCATTTGGAGGGTCAGAAGGGGCTTAGGGAGGAGGGGTACCATCTGGAATTGGCCTTTTCTTTCCCTCCAGCCTCCTCCCCCTCACCCCCCCAATAGGAGGAGCCTTTTCTTTTCTCCCCCTCAATCCCCAGTCCCCACCTCCTGGATTTCAGGAGTCTTTTCTTTCCCCCAAACCCCTACCATGGCCACCAGTGGCCTTTTTTCTCCCTTCTCTCCCAGCTGCCAAGAGCCTTTTCTCTCCCTGCAGTCCCCTCAAGATGCCATGGACCTTTTCTCTCCCAAGACAATGCTGCAGCCTAGAGCAAGGAGGGAGAAAGGGTTTGGGCTGCGGGGCTACTTATTTCAGTGCTGGCTGGCCAGAAGGCGGAGCTCCATCCCTGCAGGCCACTCCCTAGCTGATACAGCTGCCCCCAGTGGACACTCTCACTATCACTGAACCACCGCTCCCTTTCCCTGAACCACCGCTCCCTTTCCATGTTATGGAACCCAGTCCGTTTCCTGGTGTAGCCGGCCAGAGTAAGTCTCAGGTCCGACACTGGGCTCTCAAAGTACAAAGGACGCCACACAGGTATCTGTCATACACAAGGGCTGTGTCTTCACTGGGCCACTTATTCTGGAAAATCAGCCACTTTTCCGGAATAAGCTGCGAGCTGTCTACACTGGCCCTTGAATTTCCGGAAAAGCAACGATGCTCTACTGTACAAAATCAGCTGCTATTCTGGAAAAACTATTCTGCTCCCACTCTGGCATAAGTCCTTATTCCAGAACACTGTTCCAGAAAAGGGCCAGTGTAGACAGCCCAGTAGTCTTTTCTGGAAAAAAGCCCCGATTGTGAAAATGGCGATCGGGGCTCTTTTCCGGAAAAGTGTGTCTACATTGGCCACAGACGCTTTTCCGGAAAAAGGGCTTTTCTGGAAAAGCTGCCTGCCAATGTAGACGCTCCTTTTACGGAAAAACTGAAAACGGAATAGTATTCCGTTTTAAGCAGTTTCGGAAATTCATGCCAGTGTAGACGTAGCCAAGTAGTTTATTTCCTGACAGCTAACAGCTGTGCCCCATAAATGGAAGAACAATATAACAAAGAAGCAGCATATCTTACATCCCTTCCTGTAAGCCTGTGACCCCGGGAAGGCTACAGACGAAGTGGGAGGTTGTCTCAGCTTCCGAGGCATCGGTAGCCAAAGCCCATCGGTAAAGTCCAATTTGCTAGGCTTTGAGGCAGCCTTAAATACAGTTTTCCTGCCTTGTTTGGCAGTTTGGAAATTTCCAGGGCTTACTCATTAGTGCTGATGTAGAACTTAGCTGTTAGTTATCAATCTAGTTCTGATCTGGATCTTTCTGTCCTTTGGCCCTGTTTATGTGATCAGTACGTTAGGATAAACAGAATTGTTTATGTGTCCTTGCCCTTTACCCTTATCTCATTCTTGTTCTTGTTATACTGGTAGCAATGCTTATCTTAAATGGTGTTTGTTCCCAAAGACTTGCTTCTGGCTCATCAGATATAGGGAAAAGGGAAAAGGGGAGGGGGGAGAAGAATGCAGGCCTCATCACCCCTAAACTAGCACGTACAAAGTTCTTCCGCAATTTACCACTTCACCTGGTACTCCCAGTTGTCCTGGCACATCCAACCCCTGAGCTTGATTTAAATTAGGAGAAGAGGGAGCTGAACACCAAATTTGGTGGTCTTAGCTCTTACCATGTAAGAGGAGTTCTTGAACAAATGGACTTGCAGACCGATATACAGATAGACACACAAATCTCTAATAAATATACACAAGAGTTTCTACAGCTCTCAAAGAATTGAGCTATGCCTCATTAGTAGATTTCTGCATATGATATGCCTCTGGTTTAAAATGTTTGTTTTACACAATTTCAATTGCTTGGGGTCCAGCCATTTTTATGTGTAACACATATCTGAAGTATTGGGTCAATTTTAAATCAGGATGTTAAGGAATTCATAGAATTTCTATTAAATCCAATTAACCATGAGTATAGACTAAAGCAGCATTCATGCTGGTAAGATCAGAGAGAATTATATTCTATGTAACTCTCCAAACCAGATCCTATAACTAATTGATTTGGAAATAGTGTGCTCTTAGTTTCCAAAGAGTGGGAGTAACCTTGGATTTATATGCTATGCCCAGAGCAGTGATAAGGAAGGAATTCTTTTTTTAATAAAAATCCCCCTTGAAATATTCCTCAGAGAGAAGATCTGTAAGTGCAGATTGTATTTAAATCTACTTTCTGCTCCTTTAGTATATTCTACAGTTAATTTGGTAACACTGATTTGTTTTAGAACAGGGTGGGCAATAAGCAGCCTGCAGGCCGGTGGTGATTCACCAAGGTTAGCAGCTGGTAGGCTGCTCGCACTTTATTTGCCTGCATTTGCACAAGTACAGCCACTTGTAGGTCCTCTGGCCATTCCTCGCCAATGAGAGCTGTGGGAAGTGGTGTCCCGGTCCATGTTGCTTTCCACAGTTCCCACTGGCTGCGAATGACAATTTGTGCCAAACAGGAGCTGCAAGCAGCTGTACCTGCAGACATGCAGATAAATAAAGCACCGACTGCCCTCCAGGGGCTGACCCTTGCCTCCAGCTTATAGCCCACTATAATCATGTTTTGTGTCCAAAATGAATCTGTTCCTAAGGTCACCAAATGACATAACAGAATATGCGAAAGGACTGAGTAAACACACTTCTACTGACAGTTACTCAAACTTATATTCCCTTGGCAAATGGGAAACATTTTATTTCAATATTATGCATAAAATATCACAGTATTTTAATAGACTCAACACCTCTTCAGCATGTGCTTTTAAAATAAATATCTATGTAATTATCATTTTAATTGTGTTGCTATGTGTCTTTGATAAATTTGTAGCACTTAAGGAAATATATAAAAAAGAGAGAATTTAGATACAGCAATTTTTATTATGTAGGTACTTTGTAGAAAATTGAGTTGCTTGTGCTCTGCTGCCTACAGTAGATCTTGTTTGTTCGCAAAAGATAATCCCCATTGTTCTCTTGTCCCTTGTCTTGATCTCTATCTACTTTTTTTCTTTTCCTTCCAGACTTAGCCAGTAAGTTCCTTGGAGAAGGGTAAATTTCATCTTGAATGTCTAGGAAAAAAAAATAACACTTCGATAGATATTGTGTTAATATAATACTAATACTAATACTACTACTACTAATAATAATATTTATAAAGTACAGCAGTTAAAATGTTTGAAAATCATCTTTTGCTCAGTTCCTTGCTATTAGCTGGATAGAGTGCTTTTAACTGAATTGCAACATAAAGCACTGAAAATTCATGAACTAACCCCACAAACTCATAAGATTTCCTTTAAAACCTTGAGGTTTAAAAATCTATTTAAAAAATGCTTTCTCTGTTGAGATGCCTTCTGTATTGAGCCTATGGTGTTTATGTTTTCAAGGATTTTTTCCCCCACAATCATCATTCCAAAGCTGAGATTCTCACATTGTTATGTGATTTTAAGAACTGGAGCTTTAGAAAAACAAAATATCACAAAACCAGTGATAACATTTCCAAAATTGGCAACACTACATTATGTACTCCAAAATCCTATTGAATTCAGTAGTACAATAAGGCCTGACAAACAGAGGTGTTTCAGTTTGAATTCAAAGTTTATCTGAGTTTAGGTTTCATTATTAACTCAATACTGAGGTCAGGTTAGCTGAAAGTAGAAATGGGCCTGAAGGAATACTTTTCATAAAAATGCTTTTGAGCATTGTGAACATGTGTGGGGTTCACAATCCAAAATTGGAGCCACATTAACATTTCATTGTAGATATCATTCTCTAAAGAATACAAGTTGAACCTGCAAAATCCTGGATTTTCTGGTACAGTGACATCGTGGTCTGGCAGGACCACAGATATTGATGGATCCAAGAGTCCCAGCACCCAGGAGTGAGAACTGAGTGGGAGCCCCATCCCCAGGGAATCCCAGTGGGTCTGGACAGCAAAGGGACTGGTAAGCCGGGTCTTGGAGAGTCCTGGATGGGCAGGTCAGTAGCAGGGCAGCCGGCAGCAAAAACGGGGTTGCTGACAAGCCCCATTTCTGGAGATTCTTGGTCTGGTGCGGGAGAAGCAGTGCCATGGCAGCTGGAGAGCTCTGTTCCCAGGGAGCCCCCATGGGGCAGAACCCAAGTGCAAACCCTACAGGCTGTAGCTCAGTAGCAATGTGGCCTGAGAGGAGCCAGGTGAAGTGAGGGGGAGCATCCTGAGAGGCTAGTGGGAGGGGATGTCCCCTGATCCAGAAAATTCCCTCATTCAGGATGGGCCAGGTCCTGAGAGTGCTGGACAAAGGAATTCCAAATTGTAGACTTTACACAGACCTTTGGTCCAATAGTCATAATCTTTAGAGCCAAATGTTATGGCTACTGTCCATATCTCTCTAAGGCTCACATGCTTTTGGAAAGAGGATTGGAAGCTAGTTTGGTAATTACAAGGTGGGGATTTGACTGGATCTCCTGATTACCATCTCTACCCTGTTGAGATGATATGAAGGCATTGTCCTTGGGAAGGATTACTGGTATAGCAGATGTAGCTTGCTGAGCTGAAGCAAAAAAACAGACTTGTATGACACTATTGTCTTAGTGTTTCTAATTTCCTAGTCTGATGTTAAAGAGCTAGTATGTATGAGATAATTGGATCCTCAAGACTAGATTTCAGGTGCCACATGAAGGCCAAGCTTTCATGTAGTCTCTTTCACAGTGTCAGTGTTTAACAAGAAGTAGAGATTATTATTTATTATTATTTTATTTATTACAGAGCTAATAGCTAAGGACTGGCTTTTGTGAGGATACTGGCCCAATACCTCTATTTTTGGCTTAATATATAAGTTCAGATCTTTGTGATGTTACAGTCTCAGCACCAGAAGCTAAGGTGAGGGGGGAGGACTTGCTCACCCTGGTGCTTGTCTTATGATGAAGTGACATTGCATCATTTTCTGTAATGGGACATGGTAAGATAATACTTACACCAGAATAAATGTATTTGGTATATGCCCATTGTGCCAGTTACAAACATGCAGTATATGACAGTTCCTGGCCCAAGAAGATTGCAGTCTAAATACACAAGAGAAAGAGAGTGAGGGTACGTGTACACTGCTGAGTTTTTGAGCAAAACCAGTTGTTTTTGTGCAAAAACTCATGGAGCATCCACACTTCAAGCACGTCTTTGCACAAGAAAATGTACAGTGAATCAACGGAACAGAGGGGTTTTTGCTGTATAGGTATTCCTCTTTCTATGAAGAATAACTCCTTTTTGAGCAAGAGTTATTGTGCAAAAATGTGTGTGTGGTTGGGAAACGGGTTTTTTTTGCACAAAAACAGCTAATTGAAAGAAGCACAGGTGCCCAAGTGACCATTCTGTTAATGGCAATCAGAGCTTTCTTGCATGAGAGCATCCATGCAGTGTGGACGTGCAATTGAGCAAGAAGCCTACAATGTAGACATAGCCTGAGAGAAAAAAGTGTCATCTGTATTTCATATGCAAAAGAAATGTAACTTGCCCAAGTTCACATATGAAGCCTGTGCAAAGCCAAGAACTGAAGTCAGATCTCAAGTCTGAGCTGGTTAGGCCTCAGTTGGAGTATTGTGTCCAGTTCTGGGCACCGCATTTCAAGAAAGATGTGGAGAAATTGGAGAGGGTCCAGAGAAGAGCAACAAGAATGATTAAAGGTCTAGAGAACATGACCTATGAAGGAAGGCTGAAAGAATTGGGTTTGTTTAGTTTAGAAAAGAGAAGACTGAGGGGGGACATGATAGCTGTTTTCAGGTATCTAAAAGGGTGTCATAAGGAGGAGGGAGAAAACTTGTTCATCTTGGCCTCTGAGGATAGAACAAGAAGCAATGGGCTTAAACTGCAGCAAGGGAGGTTTAGGTTGGACAGTAGGAAAAAGTTCCTAACTGTCAAACACTGGAATAAATTGCCCAGGGAGGTTGTGGCATCCCCATTTCTGGAGATATTTAAGAGTAGGTTAGATAAATGTCTATCAGGGAAGGTCTAGACAGTATTTGGTCCTGCCAAGTGGCAGGGGACTGGACTCTCGAGGTCCCTTCCAGTCCTAGTATTCTCTGATTCTATGAAGTCCCTCTTCTCTACCCACAAGACCAACCTTCCTCTTTTATCATAACTCACTTAAATAATAAATTAAATAGATTTATCAAATATGCAAAATGACTTCTCTTTACATTTTATTAGTTTTTTTTGCTTATGCTCCAATTCAATTGCAATTTCCTACCTACTTTGCAATT